GGATCTATTCTTCCATGGGAGAGTCAAGAGTGTTGTCTTTCTAGAAGTCCATATACATGTGGAGTACATGTCAAAGCTAATGGGAGTGTCATTGTCTTCCTAGCTGTAAGGTCACACTTTATGATCTGATGAGTCAAACACTTTACACTGATCACCAGCCCCAACACCAACACCAACACCAGTGTCAGCACCAACGCTAGCCCAAGTTTATCAGTGTCGGCATGAACTTTGTAATTTAATTTTTCTTTGTATTGTAGGTAGTTATATGTTGTATATATAGAATAGATATATGATCTGTAATCTTAGTGATTAGGCTTAGACTTTTACTTAGATAGCTATAAATCCCCAAAATAATAGGATATTATTTATTGTAATCGTGTATAATCAACCTTATGGTGAAACCCTAAGGTAAGTCTTGATGACCATCTTTGTGACCTTGTTCTCTTTATGAGAATCGTTCTTTCTTACTGATAGCATCTTTATGATTATATTCTTTAGTTTTCTATTTAATATTTGCTTTGTTTATTTGTTCTTTGTTATTCATACTTGAGTGTATTCGATCTTTACAAACCTTCAATTGGTATAAAAGCGGGTTTACAATGCGCTCGAGTTCTCATGTCTTCTTCTTCTTTTTCTCACCCTAAGTCGTCCGCCTTAAACAAGATCCCTACTTTCGATTAACAAAAATTTTCTAAGTGGAAAGAAAAGGCTATGGTTGTTCTTGAAATGATGCACTTTGATATGCGTAATATCCTAGAAAAGGCCCACACATTCCCATGTTCCAGCCTATGGCTAATAATTCTCTTGTTGGTCCCTTAAAACAAAAGCCAACGACTAACAATGACAAGGAGGACAAAAGACTTATTAGTTTTGATGTCAAAGAAAGGGTAGCTATAGGAATTTCTCTTCCCTATCATGTATATCATCTAATTCATAACTGTGAATCTGCTCAAAAGATTATGGAAATGTTGATTGTGGCTTATGAGCATACTGTTGAAGTTCAAGCTACAACCATCAACAATCTCAACCAGAGATATGAGTATTTCTTTGCTTAGCAAGGTGAGACCCTAACTCAAACATTTAACATGTTTAAATGTTTGGTGACTGATATGTATAGGTTGGGAGTTGTCAAGCACTTTTCTCCGTTGGTTTTAAAATTCCTAGATTCTCCTGGGAAATGCTGGGAACATCATGTTGATGTTCTTAATAACAGTGAAAAGAATCAACCTCATGGATCTTAATTCTTTGTTTGGGAATCTAAGAAAATATGAAGAAAATAAATCTCTTCGTAAGGAAATTATGAAGGACTCCAACAAAGAAAAGTTTGTGGCCCTGGTCTCCAGAAAAGAAGCAACAAATCTTGTCAGCGACTCTGATGATTCTAACCAGGGTGAAGGGAGTAATGATGAAATCACTGATTAACTAGCTGCCAGTGTTGCACTTATAGTTAAATGTTATGAAGAAAGGAGGTTGAATAGAGTCATAAGAGTTATGTCCAAGGGAGGCAGTTCAGCAAGAAAGCACAACTCAGATAAAAGAAGTTCAGGTAACTGTTTTAGCTGTGGGAGTCCTGAATATTTTGCTTAGGATTGTAAAAAGAAGAAAGAATCACAATGTCTGGAGAATTATGAAGTCTTTTACAAGAAGCTGCTAGCTCACATGAAGAAGGAGAACATTTCTAAGCCAAAATCTTTTAATGCAAAGCAAGAGGAATCAGAAGAATGGGTTGAAGAGAGGAGACATCGGAAGATGAAGGGTTAAATGTTAAAGGACTTATGGCTCTTATCAGTGATGTCCCTGATAGTCGTTCCAGCAGGTGTGATGTTGATACATTTTAAGTTGTCAAAGAATCAAAGATGAAGAGTTGGAATGTCTCCTCTACTCGTCAAGATCTGGAGCATACTTGGTTCCTAGATAGTAATATTCTAGACACATGACTAGTCTCAAGTTCCTTTTAACAGATTTTGTGGAGAAAGATGGTTCCATCGTTACTTTTGGATATAGCAGTGGAAGTGCAGTCAAGGGAGTAGGAACAAGTAAGTGTAGATCTATCATGTTGAAGGATGTGTTCTATGTTAAGGGCCTTCAAAACAATCTCATCTCAATAAGTCAACTAGGTGATCTTGGTTACAAAGTTAGTTTTGACTGTAATGAAGGAAAGGTCATCGAGTCAAAGAACACAGTTGTGCTCACTACATTTAGGGAAAATAACATTTACATGCTTTAATTATATTTGTGTTGGACAACGTTGCTTTACGACTTTTCACTAATTTTTTCTATTAAAATCTCTGAACATACGTTGCCGACTTTTGTATTATTATAAAACCTTTCTGTGTGCTTCAAAAACTCTTTCTAAATTTACCAAAGGAATGTACATTGTATATTATACCACTAACGTTGCTTATGTATGTTCTTCCCTCTCGCTTTATACGTTTCAAGATCCTCTGCCTTCATCTCGGCAGTGACCTTAACTGATTTTTTCCTTTAGAAAGGATCAACATGCCATTCCCTCAGAGTAGCACCTTCTGAGCAGAACGAGTTAAAGTTGGATTTGCATAGTTTCTTCAACGCCAACTGCTCTCTCCCTGACATTGATGATCACGGTGATTGACATGAAGCATCTTGCCGATGAGTCCAGGTAGGAGAGAACTATGTTTGAACTAGTACTTTTGGATGTATATCTCTTCCTTCTCTGAGAGCCTATCCAAGATGGAATAGGGTGAAATGAAGCTAGGAGATGTGTCATGTTTGATTTCCATAGACACTCTCATTATTAGACCAATTCCCATCAGAGATTTAAAGACCTTTTCAACAAGATAGAACTCCTCATCACTTCTATTATGGATCACAATGAATGGAACCTTCGTGATTCTTCTTGGTGACTCTCATAACTCGAAGGTTACAAATACTGGATCCTAATCAAAAAGACTGGTTCTTGATCTTCTCTTGTTCTTAGTAAACATGAAGCTTGGAATCTATCTACAATACTTCAATGATTAAAGGCATCTTCTCTCCTTATTTTTATGAATTATGTTTTATGTTGATGCATATGTTCTTGTCTATTTATTCTTTGATAAACAAAATTAAAGGGTATACATTGGAAAAAAGAAACACATTTGTGGCCTTTGAATTCAAAAGATCGACTAAATCGGGTCTTTACTTCAATTCTAAAAATGTTGTACAAATTTCTCTTTTTGAAAACTGCCTTGGTTGACTAACCTTATTTTGTCTTATTCTCTTATTACTAGTATATTTTTCATTATTTTATTTTGTGCAATCTTAAATTCATTTAAGGTGAATTTTAAAATTCTAGACTGAAACTTAACTTCACGATACGGAAGTTGAACCACTTGTTGATAAATTTACATTGTTTATGATTCATGTTAATTACACCTCGGCATGATTAAAACATTCCATTCTATCATTACTCTTCTTTATAATACTTAACGATTCACTGTGATATAGCACACACTAATAAAAGTTTGAAACTCTGTGTCGATGGTTAGTCTATGTACCGTAGGCTATCATACGCACCAATCCTTTCTTGCCCTTGAATTATTATTAAAAGCTTCATGATTCAGTGTAACATACCATACCCTAATGAGAGCTTGAAAATTTTGTGTTAATGGTTAGGCTATGTACCATAGCTTATCACACGCACCAATCCGTTTTCACCTTTCTTTCTTCTTTATAACTTTGTGATTCAACATATGACACCATACGGTGATGAGAATTCAAGGAATCTGTATGATGGGTACATCACGTCCTGTGATGTATTACACATACTACCCATTCTCTCCCAACAAATCTTCTATTAAAGAATTTGATGATTCATTGTATTAGCCATACCCTGACAAAACTTCGACACTCCATGTCAATGGGTACATTTCGTTCCGAAATGTATTACATGCCTCATCCCACTCTCTATTCTTCTAATAAAAGAAGTTGATGATTCAGCATATGAAACCATATGTTGAGGCTTCGCAATACTAAGTCAGTGAATGATAGTTCAAACCCCCGTTATCAGGAGACATAACTATCTCAATATATTGTTAGCTACAAATATGACACGCTGCCAATATTATTCTAATACTCTGACTGCTTGTTGACGCTTTGTCTTACTCATTCACTTATCTCAACGGTAACTTTTGGATGACTATTAAATATTTGCAATAGTTCCTTGAAATATGAGATTTTTATGGTGCCACTTTCTCCAATCACGATTATGTAAAAGGGAAGAAAATTCAAGTATAATTTAGGAGAACTCTCTCTCCTCGGTCACTTTTACAACGTATTCAAGCAGTCAAATTTCTCTTTCAATAAATTCTCTCGATCATCTTTTTCCTCAAGTTTTCATCATGTCTAAGGTTCTCCATGTGGTTGCTCATGGTGCTAATACGGTCAAAGGCCCTCATGCTCATGATACTCAGATTGTCATTCAATCAAACAACGTTGCATTCTCCGATGTTATCCCAATTTAGTACAAGAACTCAGGGATTGAAGACTTCATCAACTATGTCAAAATCTGACCTCTTCACTATGCTTTTTGTGATTTCCCACAGCCCTTCTACCCTAATCAAATATGTGAGTTCTACTATTCTTGATCTGTTGATTCAAATAATCAAATTATTACCGAAACCATTGGAGATGGTCATTCTAGGGTTACTACCAATGCTGCATCTTTTTGAACTGCTTTTTGTCTTTCCCGATCAGAAAACTATTCGGAAACCCCATCTGAAGAAACATGCAAGTATTTTCATTCAAGATTAGGATAAAACTTCTCTCTTCAAGGTACTTCTCGTGACCCAACCAAACACACCCTTCGTCAATGCTATTGTGCAGGATAGAACTACTTATCAGGAGTAATTGGAAAATGGCTTGGACATAAGACAGGAATCCTAGATTAGTTAAGCCTATTTAAGTAATAAATTGTGTATGTCATGGCTTGTAACAAAAGACTAGATTTTGCTCAATTATTTTTTGATCAATTGGTTGAGTGTATGACTGGGAACAAGAAGTCAACATATGCTCCTTATATTCGTTCGCTTACACTAATTATGGATAGTGTTGAAGAAGGTTACAATGTCAATCATGGAGTCTCCATACTAGTTCCAACCCTTTCATCAAAGATTATCAATGTTGGTCCCTCTGATGGTGATATGCATCTTACACGGAGTATGGAGAATTAGATTGAAAATCCATATGTTGTTGAAACTTCTGAATTTGAAGAAGATGATGATGAGGAAATGCATGAAGATGATGCTAATTATGTTGATGATGAAGAAGATGAATTAGACGCTAATATGCGATAAGCCTATGTTTAGGGAATGTCTAATTCTCCTTAAATAATGAACCAACACATTTATTTTTCCTCAACTTCTACTTTGCCAACATCCTTCCTTGTGGAAGATTTAGTCCATCACGGATCATCTCTACCTCAAGTGGAATCTATTTATCCACTAATTCAAGATGTGAAATCTCTTAGATCAGTGTCTCTTTCTCCTAAACCTGCAACTATTCCTCCAACACCAATTCAGACCTTTGCTACCTTTCAAGGAGAATCTAGTTCCAACTTTCAAAAGAATGTGCTCTCCCAACTCCCTCTCTTAGTCAATATGACTTAGTCTCTTGGATAAATACAAACTAAGATTGAAAGTGATGAAACTGATATCAAACAATCTATGGCTTTTGTCAACAATGATGATGATGTATTGATCAAAGACACTCCTCCTAACTCTCCAGGTGATGATCAACCTCCTCCACCACCACCCAGAAATAATTCACACCCATCATCATCTAAAAATAATCAATTTCCTTCACCATCAACAAAGCCTCCTCCTCACACTCCCTCTCCACCTCATGAGACTCCTCCATGAACTAATGATGCAAAAAAGGGGGAGAATAATTTGTTACATGCTAATTAGTTTGAATCATAATAAATAAGGGAGGATAATCAAGGACTAACAGTTGTTGTCAGTCTGTGGCAATGAATGATGAAAAACCCATTCCAAATGTTGAAGATCATTCTGAGAGTATGAAGGGTTTCTTGACTTGGATTTTATGGCACAAACTATTGTTCCTCTAGTATTATTTACCTTGATGCATTTTTTGAGAGTGGGGGGGGGGGGGGGGGTTCCTCAAGGAACTAATAGTGACATTGAGTATGATAATGATCAAATCAATCCTAGAAAAGAAAGGCTTATCTCTTATAGGGGTAAACAATGCTAAAGCTGGAAGTTCCTCAGCCGCTTGTGATTCTTCATCCCCTCCCCCTACGAAATGCAAGTTAACAGTTGATTTGGAAGATTTAGCTGCAGATTTGTAAATGACCATTGAGGAGGTCAGAGAAATTATATTGGAACATAATACTACAATTAGAACAAGAAGAGATGAACATTGAATTATCAAGCTTGTTCAGACCCTTGCATCTGTTGATGCTTATGAGACCAATATTCAGCGTTTCAATATTGATGTGACCAATCAAAACAGAGTCTCTGAGCTGAATGATCAAATCAACTGGAAGAAATTTTGAAATGTTCTAAGTCGAATATCAACGTATTCCCATCATCTAGATGTAACAAACTCAAAAATGAATCATTCGACGTTCATCTTCTCAGAAAGAAAGTTGAGTAAATACACTGAAGTCATATTCACTCATGACCTGATTAAGTATGGCTACAACGGGTGGATATAGATTCAGGAGATAATTTCTAAACATAAAGGTGTTCATGCTCATGAACTAAAGTTGGCAATTCAACACCTAATCGAGAAAGTCAACAAGTTGAACTTAGTGCCTTCAACTGGTCCATCTCATACATCTACCTCAAAAAGAAATAGAAAGCCCAAAATGTCTAAATATACTAAGTTTTTCCTTTTATATGCCACTCCATACATCAACAACAAGCTACCAGCGGGTGTTGAGCCAGTTCAGCACATGTTTATTTGGGAACCAGAACATGGTATCTTCTATCTTGACAGTCAGAACCAAATATGCTTTCAATGTATTGAATATCTTCCTAATGCACCCATTGAGCAACTTTTCAATCTTCGCCTGGAGGGAATGCAACATAAAGAACTAGAACGAGGATATCATGTGCTGATCTCATTTGAACTTAGTAAACAGTTGGCTGAACACCATGTTGATTACTTTAATTGGTTGAGGCTTGAGATCTAGACAGAAGCTGGAAATTCTCAGATGAAAACTATGATGATTCCCTTGAAGATTAGTGACTGATGGATAAAAAAAGGGTTTTGGATGCGAAAGGGGCATTAGGTGCGAATAAGGTTATAAGAAGAAATCAGGTTGTGATTGGATGCGACTGGATGCGAACGATCGCAAGCCATCGTAGTCTCTAATATTTGAAAGTGAACGAGGACGCAAACAATGTCGGAACAAATCACAACGTATCACAGCCAATTGAAGTTTTCATTTTCAGGGGAACAATTTTTTAAAGGACATGTTTCGACATCATCATATATGGGTAGATTTTAAGGTCACACCTTATGATCTAATGATCCAAACACTTCACATTGATCAATAGCGCCAATGCCAGCACTAGCGTTAGCACTAGTGCCAACCCAAGTTTATCAGCATCAACACAAACTTCATAATTTAAGTTATATTTAGATTTTAGGCAGATATACGTTGTATATATAAAATAGATATCTAATCCATAATGTTAGTGATTAGGATCAAACCTTTACTTAGATAAGTATACATCCCTAAAATAGTGAGATATTAGTTATTATAATTTTATATAATCAACCTTTGGGTGAAACGCTAAGGTAAGTCTTGGTGACCGTCTTTGTGACCTCGTTCTCTTTGTGAGAACCCTTCCATATTAGTGAAAGCATATTTGTAATTTTCTTCAATTTTCTATTCAATATTTGTTTTGTTTATTTATTTATTCTTTTCTATTCATACTTGAGTGTATTCTATCTTTACAAACCTTAACTAGTATTGCATGTTGATGACATCTACCGCTGAGTACAACCCCAAATCACTAAACCTTATTAGTGATGAAGTAGGTCGCCACTGAATGTCCCCAAAGAAAGGACCCCCAAACCAAAATGGCCTCAATCGATCATCGTAACCCTTTACCAAAACACAAAGCAACCTCCTCCATGTGGACGGGTTTGCACGTCCTCGTGCGAAAGAAAAGTTTGGCAATGCTCATGCAAGATCGAAGCAAAAAGAGATCACTCTGGGGGTCATGTAATTATGGTAGAATACGCATCAAATCAATGGCCTTGGTAGCCATCTTCATGGCTAACCTGGTAATAAAACTCATGTCTCTACTAATAGTGTAACGCCCCGTTCTTTAAGTATTTATGGATGAGTCCTTGAGATTTGAGAGAAAGGGTAATGTTGGTCCTTTTATGGGAAATGAGTTTTATCCGAGAAGGTTTCGGTCTGGTGTATGTTGATAGAAGCATAGGGCTTCTTGCCACCCTCGTGTGAATGTAAAGTTTATTGAGAGCGGGTTTAGAGTCGAGGAGTTGCGGCGTTTCGAAGGTAATATCAATCATAGCTCCTTAGGGGTAATTAGAGAAAAAGGTCCCATGCGTGCATGGCATGCATGCTTGAAGTTGGATGGGTACGCCCAGCGTAGTAAGGGGAGAAATGCGGGGGGGGGGGGGGGGGGGGGAAGGTGAGTACGCCCAACGTACTCTCAGAAACCCCAAACCCTAAAATTAGGGTCAGCCACTATATAAGGAACATGTTGGTTCATATCCTAGCCTCCATAGACACTCTTTTACCCCCAGAAACCCTAGAAATCCGTATTCCCTCCATTGTTGGGTGTGTTTGGCCTTGGAAAGCTCATTTTGGCAAAAGAAAAGCTAGAAGAAGAAAGGAGAAGTTGTCAAAGAAGGAGAGGAACGATTGGGTGTGTTTGGCCTTGGAAAGCTCATTTTGGCAAAAGAAAAGCTAGAAGAAGAAAGGAGAAGTTGTCAAAGAAGGAGAGGAACGATTGGAGCTTGTAGATCTGGAGAGATATCATCCTTTGGAGCTTATTTGAGGTATAAAGCTTCTTGCTTGTCAATTATTTTGCATAGATCTAAGTGTTGTGAAGTTTTGGCATCATTCTTGTCCCAAAAGTCCTCATCTTGATTCATGCTTTGAGTTGGCCGAGGTTATCTGTCCTTTCAAACCTTTGGAGAGGTCTTGAGTGAGAAAAATGAGGTCGCAAGGGCTGTGGTTGTTCCATGTGTGAGATATGTAGGTCTTAATGGATTAAGACCTTGGATTAAGATCTTTATGGACGTCGCAAGTGATAAAGTTTGAGACTTTATGAATCTTAGGCATATTTGGCCTAGTGATATGAAGTTTGGGCTTAAGAGCTTAAGCCATTAAGAAGTTATGAAGACTTAATGAGTAGTAAGGTTAAGCCCCGTGTAACATAGTAGTACGCCCCGCATAGCTGGTCAGGGCCCCGATCCCCAGTTGCGAATCAGCGGGTACGCCCCGCGTACCAAGGAGGGTACGCCCAACATACTCCCCCTGATTGGACTTCCATGTTGGGCTTTAGAGTTTGGGCCGTTTGTGGGTTGTTTGTTTATGGGCCATAACTGGAAATTTATGGATAGAGTATTTTGGGCTCAATTACTGTTATGGACCTTGGATCTAGGCCCATTTGGTGAGGAGGGCCCAATTCAGTAAATTCAGCTAATATTGGGCTTTGTATAAGATTTGGATTTTAGCCTTGGCCCGATAAGTGGATGTATGTGTGGTCTAATGATTCTTTTGTTATGATGGCTAGTTTGGGATTTTCGGTGAGTCGGTGATTCGGGAATCGACGTCTTCAGTTTAGAGTTTCGGCAATCGCGAGGTGAGTTATCCTCATTATATCAACAGGGTCTAAGGCACCAAGACCGGCCCTTTATCGGATTGAGATCCGGGTATTTGTTGTTATGTTATTGATTTGATATGTTTGCATCCTGGTAGCTAGCATGGTATATGCTAGTGACCGGTAGATCGGTATCCGGGTTAGGATGATGATATTTAATGTGATCTGTTTGATCAGCTTGTTGTCTGTGAATTCTTATATGATTGTATGTTTATGTGCACATGGTTGTTTGGACTGGAGTTGGGTTGAGGCGTGTCTTGCTTTGTGCTGTAGGCCAAGATACCCAGGGTGAACCAGTTGTCCCGAAGGCCCAACGAGCAGTCCGGATAGGCTGTAGGCCCCACAAGGGCGGACCAGACGTGTCGAGGCTTGAAGAGTGGACCAGGCCGACTGAAGGCCCGATGCGGACGGACCAGTCATACTGTAGACTCAGAGAGTGGACCAAGTGGGTTGAAGGCCCAGTGCGGGCGGACCAACCACATTGCAGACTCGAGGGACATGACTAGACTCGGTGGACTGAAGGCCCGATACGGCGGACTAGTCACGCAGTAGACCCGATATGCATGCATGTTCTGTGATCGGTTATGATATGACATGTTATATGTGTATGGTATATGTGGTTGGTATTTTGGGGGTATCTCACTAAGCTTTCGGGCTTACAGTTGTGGTTTAATGTTTTTTAGGTTCTTCAGGAGACCGTGGCAAGTCGAAAGCATGATCGTACCGCTCCTCGTGTTTATATTTTATGTTATGTTTCTGGGAATACTCTGATAATAAATGTATTGAAAACCTTTTTGTAAAAACTTAAAGTAATTGGGATGTTTTGAAAAGTTTAAATTGGTTGAAATTTTTCGGTCGTTACAAGTTGGTATCAAAGCCTTGGTTTAAGTGAATTGGAGGAACATTCGTGTGAATCCAGTCTCAAATCAAGGAGAGTTTTAAAAGAGAATTTAAAATGGTTTTCAAATTAAGTAAAAGGAGGACGCGGAGGTACGATCAGTCGGAGCCAGTAAGTAACCCCAAAATAC